CTATCTATTCTAGCATGGTTTTTTTAACACTAAAATTTCGAATTTGATGCTTGATAAGATAGACACCACATCCAGAACAGTAACAAATTCAGTTTAATTTCAAATCCCAATTCATGCCTATACGAAATTTTACTGCCCATCAAGGCATCAATCACAAAATGAAAATAGTAATAATACTAATAACAACAAAAATTTTAAAAATCCCAAAAAGCAATGCACGAGAATTTAGAGTAATACTGGAATTGTAGTTTAAATTACCTTGGGTTGTCCATCGAGGTAAACAACGGAGCCATCTTTGTAAGAAAGCAAAGATCTGCCATTTCTGGGATTAAATCGGATCGGGGCTCCGCGACCTGACCCAGGAGTGAAAGCATAGACGGATTTGAACCCATATTTGTCCAGAATATCGCGGACCTCCAACTGGTCTTGGTCCCACCCACTGAGGCTGGACTTGAAGACGTCGATGGGGCCTTTACCAAGCTTATAGAGGTGGACCTCGACCTCGGGCACCTTCGTTCTAACCGACCGGATCCTATGGGGAGACTTCGGGTCCGATAATAACGGTGATGACTCGTCGGCGTTTGCTGGTGCGGCTTCCTCTTCGATTTCTCCCATCCGAAATTATTTTTCTGCCGGCAAGCCGATGTCGGAGAGGAGGAGTTTTCTGTTTGTCACTACTTTATAAAGCCTTTCGAATTGGTTCGTGCGGGGGCCCACTTAAGCTGAGAGGTGGTAAAACTTACACTGCTACTATTTTTTCTTTTTCTTTTTTTTTTTGGGTGAACAATTACTCGTATTTTACGTCTCTATTTGGGAAAATGCAAATTTTGGTCCCTAAATTTTGGACCACGGGTACATTTCATCCTTGAAATTTCTGGAGCAACACATTTAGTATTTGAATTATCAATTTTTGATCAATTTCATTCTTAAACGGATAATTAATCAATTTGAATGAAAATTTGCCCATTAATTAAAAAGGTTTACACAACTTAAAATCAGCAAAATTGAATGGATATGTTCACTTTCCCAACTCAAATGCCTTTATTCGTAACTCCAAAATTTCTTTAAATTGATTAATTTTCCATTTGATGATAAAATTGATCAAAATTTGATAGTTCAAAAACTAAATATGTTATGCTAAAAAGTGCAATGATAAAATTTGTTCATGACCCAAAGTTTTAAGAGTAAAAACTGGCATTTTCCCATCTCTATTTCATTCTTGGGGGAATTTGACTTGACTCAAAATGTATATTTAGCAAAGAAATTGATAGACGGTTGTAGTGGATTAAGTATAAATTATTTGGAACTAAGCAAACGTGGAACGAGTTTCAATTAGAATTTGTGAAGTGGAACAAAAAGCAATTTATAGCATAAATCAAATCAATAGTAAATGGAAGTAATTAATTAGGATTCAATACTTAAAACTCCAAAATCAAGATTGACACAGTTTGCTTGCAGTTATGGGAAAAAAATGATCTTAAAAAAAAGGGTAAAAAATAAAAAAGTCCCCTGTGATAAGCCTAATACACAGAAAAGCCTCATATGGTTTCAAAATATACAATACGACACCTCATACTTTGAACTAAATTATAAAGATGACGGAATCCGTTAAATTTAACAGAAATGATTTATTGGAACCTAAAAAAATTTTTTATGCCTAATTTTTATCAAATATACCTATTCTACCCCTTAACCCTCAATTCTCTCTACTTAGAAAATAAAACAAATGATTTTTTTGAGCTGTCTTTTGCTTAATTATATCAGTGTATTTTGGTTATTTTGTCCATTTCCGTTAAATTTAACGGATTCCGTCACCTTTACAATTTAATTCAAAGCATGAGGGGTCGTGTTATATATTTTGAAATCATGGGGGCCTTTTCTGTGTATTAGGTTAACCACAGGGGCTTTTTTATTTTTTACCCTAAAAAAAATTTAAACTAGATTGGTTAAAAAGGGTGGAACTGGCTTTTATGGTGACCAAATGACAGAGGAATAATTAATGGCACATTTTGGGAAATGATTGTGATAATAGTAGTAAGGTGAGTTTGCATAAACGGTCGATACGTACGTTTTTGTACGGTGATAGTAGTGATTAAAACCATAAAATCAATTCTATTTTCTAATTACTAGATACTAAGTGAAGAGATATATAACTTGAAAGCATTTCCCTAAGCAGATCTTCCCATTTTGGCTTAGAAACTTTTACCATCAGACGGTGAACTTGGCAAGAACAGCTACAAAAATCTGACAAGGTAAGAAAGAGGCAAGAGCTCCGTGTAAATGAATGGATCTTGTCGAAGTCAAATCCCATATGTTTGCAGCAATGATCCTTCTGCTGATATGTTTGGTTCCACCCCATTATGGTGCAATGGCCATCTCGAATAGAGCTGGATAGTGTTGAGCAGCCAGAAACTACACATGGTTCCCTGACAAAATCCAATGCCTGCGAGGTTGGAGGACTTGTTCCTGGAGGACCAAATCCAGAGAAGTCACCTGGGGGTCGTCGTCGGATCAGGTCGCTGTTGAAATCGAATGTTTTCAGGCCTAAATCCTGAAGAATCGCCAGGTACTCCTCCTAGAGGCACGTCTCTGTCGGATAAGTCCAAGGTTGATCATGAAGTTCTTTCTGCGCCAAATCCTGAACAGTCGCCAGGTACTCCTCCAAGAAACAGGTCTCTGTTGAAAGCGGCTGCTCCTCCTCGAGAGTCAACAGATACTCTTAATCTTGATGCTAAAGAGACTTGTGCCTAGTTCCGGAGGTAATGCAGGTGGAAATGTTAAAAGCCTTATTGAAGACTTAGGAGTATGAAGATACGTAGGCAACGTAAACATGTTAATTACTCATTTATCATGGAAATCGATTAAATATTTACCATACCATTTCTTTCAACAACGAACGAGAGCAATGGTACTTAATGAATCAGCTGTATGGAGTTTCTATACACGTACGTTGTATAATCTGTATCAAGAACCTATGACTTCTGCAATTACATTATTCTTCTGCAACATTATTGATTATGCAGAAGTCATGCACCAGAGAATGCAGCAGAGATTCGGAGAATATGAACTCTTGTTCCTTTTAATCCCTCCCATCTCTTTAAACCATTTCAGAGTGTTGCTGCATACCACAAAGTATATTAAGTTAACCCCCAAAAAAAAGGGGGGGTCGAAGTGTTCCCCTCGAGAATCGCCTTGATTGTCCCAAAATTTTTGAGCACTTTCTGGGATTATTTTCAAATCTTCTGCTCATGACTATCCATGTAACAAATAGATGGTATCAAATTATCTCATCAGTCACCAGTTAATTGCAAGGTAATTAACTCTGTTAAATTAATAGCATCATACGTACCAAGCAAACAAATTAGTATTGATACCTAATAGCATTACATGATTAGTGCACTGGAGCTTAATAATAAAACAATAATTCATATTTTCAATTCGTCCAACTTATACTACATTACATTAGCAAATCAGAAATAATTAATGGCAATTTCAGCCGAGAATGTTAGATTGTGCAGTAATATTAGTTCTTGGAGAGTAATTTTTATTTTATTAATTACCTTCCTTTTTAATATATTTGCAATAATAATTCTTTTAATTAATTTGCTAAAATTTATCGATCATCATTGATTCTTAATCTACTACTATACATATCTTTTATAGAGCATTTATTGGTTTGGCCAAGGGGTTAAGAAAGGCCTCATGTGTTAGTTTTTTTTTATAAGGAAATTTCTATGGGCTGTTCACGTTATTATGAATAAGAAAGAATCTTCTTAATAAATGCATTAATTTTTTTTTGATATTTCGCAACTATTTACCTAACATTTTCCCTGAAAGTAAATATTACAATTCTTCCAATGACATTTATTCTTCTGTCGCCAAAATAATGTAATTCACCAATCGCCATCGTGCCAAAAGTCACAAAAAGTGTGTTAAATTTATTTATCAAATAAAAGAAAAGGAGAACCTAGTAAATCACACACATACAATTTGTTTAATTAAGAGAACTTAAAAAATATGCTATATGATTCACTTGTATACTCGATTGCTTTAATTTATCGTTTCTCTTTTTGCATTTTCTTTTATCTTGCAAGTCTTAAAACTTTATTAATGTATGTGTTCTTCTGTAAAAAAAAAAAAATTTATATTTTTCCTTCCCATTTTTTAGTTTCTGGGGGGATAAAAAAGTTCTATGTTCATAATGGCATTGTTTTGGGTTTCTTTTTAGGATTTGAAACAGACTACCTATTTATAGTTCAAAATAGGTAGTCTGTTTATTCATTTTATTCATTTACACATTTATTTCTTTACGTGAATCTTTCCAAAATTATAGTTCTTAAATGCTCAAATTCATTAATTATAATAACTTTATTCACATTAATTAATGCACATTGGCACCCGTTAGCCTAATCATTTTTATAAAAGTATAATTAATTTTAAAAAGTGGATGCACTAATTGTGATTTTATATATTCACGTAGAAAAATCTAACATTTAACCCTAAGAGATAATTTTTAACAATTTCAGCCATGAAAGTTGAAGTTTACATGGAAGTGTATCTTTCAAGTAGCTAGAAGACTGACTCAAGATGGACATAATCGATAACATTGATTGGCTATTAAGTTTTTTAAACAACACATAAATACGGGTATTAATCACAATTCAATTATATTGATTTGTTCAAATTCACTCGCTAATAAGTAGGGTTGAGCTTGTAAATTCTAAATGGGTTTAAACAGGTAACTCAATCAAACTCATATCATTGATAGATAGTGAATTTATCCGCATTACCTATTTATATCCATTTAAAAATCAAACTCAATGATTACTACATTTAGTTGAAAATTTCTAAATTAGGTACAGTGACTATATCCATCAAATATTGAACATTAATGTTGTTTCCATGTTAAGATAGTGGAAAGGAAACTTTGGGATGAATTCATGCACGAGACGAGAACAACTATAAAAATCAGACGATACAAGAGAGAGCTATGAGTAAAAATGATGGAGCCTGCAGCTTGCCAGGGCCATATGTTTAGGGCAGTAATTCTTCTGCTTTTGAGTTTGAATCCATGCCATAATGTTGCCATGGCATATGATCTTTCAAAATTCATTGGCTATGAAATCCTGAGACGTGTTCTGAAGGGACCGAATCCAGAAACTTCACCAGGTACCCCTGCAATCAACTCCCTCCCAAAAGCAAATGTTTTCGAGGTCAAGAGACCTGTTCCTTCGGGGCCAAATCCCCAGGGGCCGCCAGATTCTCCCCCTAGCTTTGATGTTAAGAGGCTTGTTCCCTCAGGGCCGAGGGCGCAAGAATCACCAGATTCTCCCCCGCCCTATGATGTTAAGAGGCTTGTTCCTTCAGGGCCAAGTGGTCAGCAATCACCTGAACCTCCCAGCCCATTCGAGGTTAAGAGACTAGTACCTTCAGGGCCAAATGTGCAAGAATCACCGGATTCTCCCCCGAGCTATGATGTTTAGAGGCTTGTTCCTTCAGGGTCAAGTGGCCAAGAATCACTTGAACCTCCCAGTCGATTCGAGGTTAAGAGACTAGTACCTTCAGGGCCAAATGTGCAAGAATCACCGGATTCTCCCCCGAGCTATGATGCTAAGAGGCTTGTTCCTTCAGGGTCAAGGGGCCAAGAATCAACTGAACCTCCCAGTCGATTCGAGGTTAAGAAACTAATACCTTCAAGGCCAAATGTGCAAGAATCACCGGATTCTCCCCCGAGCTATGATGCTAAGAGGCTTGTTCCTTCAGGGTCAAGGGGCCAAGAATATTCGAGGTTAAGAGACTAGTACCTTCAGGGCTAAATGTGCAAGAATCACCGATTCTCCCCCGAGCTATGATGCTAAGAGGCTTGTTCCTTCAGGGTCAAGGGGCCAAGAATCAACTGAACCTCCCAGTCGATTCGAGGTTAAGAAACTAGTACCTTCAGGGCCAAATGTGCAAGAATCACCGGATTCTCCCCCGAGCTATGATGCTAAGAGGCTTGTTCCTTCAGGGTCAAGGGGCCAAGAATCAACTGAACCTCCCAGTCGATTCGAGGTTAAGAGACTAGTACCTTCAGGGCCAAATGTGCAAGAATCACCGGATTCTCCCCCGAGCTATGATGTTTAGAGGCTTGTTCCTTCAGGGTCAAGTGGCCAAGAATCACCTGAACCTCCCAGTCGATTCGAGGTTAAGAGACTAGTACCTTCAGGGCCAAATGTGCAAGAATCACCGGATTCTCCCCCGAGCTATGATGCTAAGAGGCTTGTTCCTTCAGGGTCAAGGAGCCAAGAATCAACTGAACCTCCCAGTCGATTCGAGGTTAAGAGACTAGTACCTTCAGGGCCAAATGTGCAAGAATCATCGGATTCTCCCCCGAGCTATGATGCTAAGAGGCTTGTTCCTTCAGGGTCAAGGAGCCAAGAATCAACTGAACCTCCCAGTCGATTCGAGGTTAAGAGACTAGTACCTTCAGGGCCAAATGTGCAAGAATCACCGGATTCTCCCCCGAGCTATGATGCTAAGAGGCTTGTTCCTTCAGGGTCAAGGGGCCAAGAATCACCTGAACCTCCCAGTCGATTCGAGGTTAAGAGACTAGTACTTTCAGGGCCAAATGTGCAAGAATCACCGGATTCTCCTCCTGCATTTAAGGTTAAGAGGCTTGTTCCTTCAGGGCCAAGCGCTCAAGAATCACCTGATGCTCCGCCAAAACCCGAAGCTTTTGTTTTTTCTCAATCTAACAGTTTTGAGCAATCTCCTCCAGGATTATAGATAGGAACAGGGTGAATTAGATATATAACATGATTCAACAATTGTTTTAAGGAGATGCATTAGGCTTTGAATTGTGTAACTGCTTCATTTGTCAACAGTGAATCTACTATACGGGAAGATTAGGACCTTGCAATTAGCTTCTGCAAATTTTTATGAAGGATCTATAACTTTCATCCACATGTCAAAATAGTTGACGAGTCGCCTGCCTTGACTAGGGAGCAAAGGTGTCAAGTCTGCTCTGACGTTGTACTCGTGTACAAACAAACAATTGGAGGAAATCAACCATGCATTAGGCTCTACAGTTATACTTCTGGAGATCAATTACCAGGAAACAATAATCGAACATCTGGGAAGAAAGTTCAACAATCGAACATCTAAATCTCCATCCCTAATTTAACACAAGAAAAAGAAAGTGCAAATCCTATGTTCCAGTCTAGTTGTAGAGGTAACTCCGCATATCCTCGCAATTAAACCATGAAACAGGAATAAAGAAGAAGAAGTATCCAAGCATAAAACAGAAAGTATAAGGAGAAAAAACATATAAACCCAGTATTGTTCTAGATCTTGTCCTGTGATTCTTAGCTGAGAATCAGTGAGAGTGGGGCAGTCTCTTACACATATGAATTCCTTTAATTAACTAAGATCAAAGATAAGTTCATAGCACTAACAAAATCCATTCTCCAAAGATTGTTCTGATCGATATAAACCAAATGATGAATCAAGCCATCCTTCAACCATTGCCTGATCAAAATAATGTTTGAACTGTTTCTTAGCATCCGGTACATCCAAAGCTAAGTCATCAAGAGATTCAGCCACTCTCATGAACCCCTTCGTCATCTGGTTCATGGTTATTAGTCCCATGCTAAAACACTCTTTAAGCAGACCCCACAACCTATCATTATTCTTCTTCTCCATAATAATCACCAGTGATTTCTTAACAACCTCGTGGTGAAAAAATGGCATCCCTAACTCCTTAATGCACCTGCAAGCTTCCCTTGTGTCCCCTCCAGACTCATATTCTTCAAGCAACTTTCCTATTTTGTCCTTGACATCTTCAACTGCCCACCCATTTCTGCTGCTTCCTCCACCACCCCAGCACCTTAAAATCCGCTCCCCAGAAAGTCGAGCCTTCAGCAAGGACTTTGCCATTTGAGTAACTTTATTGCAGATTGAGCCTGACCCCAAAAATTGATTTTCAATATCCTCCAAGTTTTGTGGTGCTAAGACTTCATCTACCTCTGCCCGGGCCAAGAACAGTGCTAGATCCTCAACGACAACAGGATTGTCTAGGGCCGTGTCATCTGCAGATTCTATCAACATCACAAATCCAGTCACAACGTCATCAGCTGGAAAACACAAGGACGATAACAAAACAGAAGCCATTTCTTTCTCTCTATTTTTCCGATCCATGGCTAAAGTAATTAGCTTCTTGACAAATATCGCATTCAGTTCTCCTGAAGAGGAGCTGTTTGCTGATTCCAGACAGTGAATTACTTCTGAAATATCACCAGAGAGAAAATACTCCTGAATTATTGACTGGGCCTTCACCTTGAAAGCTTTTACAACACCGTCTCCTATTGTTTGCTTTCCAGGCTGCAGCGACAGGGCTGACAAAGAAGAGGCACACAGCCAACCTTCTGATGCTGCCTTGGAAATCAATGACTGCAATATCCTTTTAGCATTCGGAATGTCGAGTGACAAGTCATCTACATTGTCTATGATTCTACCAAATCCCTTTGAAATTTGGCTTGAATTAATAAGACCTTCTTCAGCAGCTGTCTTCAGCAAGTCCAGAAGGTAGCTTTCAGCATGCTGCTTTTCCATTGCCATTATAATAGCTCGTTTGACTATCTCATGGTGAAAAAAAGGCACATTCAAATCCTTGATGCATCTGTAAGCCTCTTTCTTGTCACCACTTGATACGTATTCAGTCAATAGATTGTTAATTCTGCTTTTGAAATCTTCAGCCGTATTATTCTTGTTTCCTGCCCAACGCCGGCCTATGCTATCTGTATGCAGAGGGGCTGACAAGTAACTCTTCTGAGCTCGTTTGATGACAAGACATCCCTTTGAGTCATTAGGCAAGGACGCAAATGCCTTTGTCAAGAATGCAGGAGGAAGTATCTCATCAACTACTGCACGAGCTAGAAACAATGCAAGAACATCAATTGCATCTGGTATATCTACAATCAAGTCATCAGCAGCCATCAATAGCCTAATGAAACCTTTGTACATTTGTTGAGGATCAATAATGTCAGCATAAAGTGAGGATAAGAGAACAGCAGCCATTTCTTTCTCTTTATCACGCCTATCCATTGCAATAGAGATGAGCTTTTTGACAAAATAAAAATCATAGTTTGGCATTCCAAGTTCTCTTAATTCATTGGCTGTTGAGGTGATATCATCAGTGGCAAAATATTCCTCGATTATTATGGTCGCCTTCTTTTTGTACTCCTCAAATGATGTATTTACTTTTGTAGCAAATGACTGCTCATTTTCCTGAAACCAAGAATTTCATTTCATGATTGGCATCAAGAATTTCACGATTACTTGCAAAACACTACTAGTGGACTGAAGAGTGGAGACAGAGAACAGAATTTGACCTACAATATAATATGCAGCCTTATGAAGGCGGTTACCTCAGTGCTACTGTAATTTGGATCATTTGGGTCAAGGACATGGCCATCATCCGTATCAAGTAGTCCCCCCCATGTTCCTTTTCCTCCACAACCACCTGCGTGATCCGAAGTATGAAGGGAACAACTTTAAGCATGCTTTAAAGCCTAATTTCTTTAACAAGTGTCTAACCAATAGAAGCCGCATATATTAATTGATCACAAAACAAATAATCCAGAACCAAGCAAGAGAGAAATAACAAATGCTATTGTAAATGTCTAATGCACTACTAAAATCACCCAAGTGATTTGCCACATGCAAAAAAAAAAAAAAAAAAGGTTTTCAGCAGGTTTTCATTCAAATTATACTGTAAAAATTCAAAAATATTGCCCTCAAGTTATGAACTCATGATTCAACTTAGAACGCCAGAAAAAATTATGTCCCAACCTTTCTTTGGACGGCCATCTCCTTTAGAATGTGACTGTCTCAGATTTTTGAGTGGACTTTTCTTGCCTGTCCCATGCTTACCATGAGGAGATCTAGGAGAATTAGGTGATCGTGGTGAACTTGGAGATTTTGGAGACCTTGGAGATCGTGGTGACCTTCGAGATGTGGATATCTGCAAAGTGGAAAGAGATAAAAGATCTACACTCTCCGAAGCTGATTGGTGTTGTTCCCGGTGCTTCTTTGACATATTCCCATCGCTGAAGTCCATCAGGGTGAGTTCTGATTGCACTAACAACTTGAGAGAACCAAGTCGACTTGCAGCGTATATAAAGCTAGCAAACGTTCAACTTGATTTCAGAATCTTGAAATCAGAGGTAGTTTGAGTATCTCCTGAGAAAATAGGAAGCTGAGTCTTTGGAATGTCTGACTTCACTTAGGCTGTGATTAAGGTGAAGATTACAATAATTACAGGAAGTAGTTGAGAAAATTGATTTAGCACCAGTGACGGGCGTAGTCCACTGCCGGAATGGCGTGAAAGCCGGGCTCCCTGGAATCCTGAAATTAACAGACATTATCAACATCAGAAGCACTTGCTAGACTCGTGCAGTTTCTAGCTGATAAATGGCAAGAAAAACTGATGCTAAATTAAGCATTTGTATGCTGCATATTGTTTACTATCACGTCCTCTATGAGTTCTCATATTCAGATCCACCTTTAAATGATCAATGAAATCAAACACCTAATGACTTCAGGGCAAAAAATGAGGAGAAAAATATCGGGAAGTCGATTTCTTGCACATCCACTTCTTCTTCATTTCCTCTTCTCTTGTTTTCTCAACCTCCCCTGCTTCTCCTGTACTACATTACTAAAATTTCACCACTCTTCCCTCCTCCATATCTGTAATTTGTATCCTTAGATTAAGAAAAGAAAATGAGACCAAAAAAAAAAACAAAAAAGGTGTATATCGAGCGCATCAACTGTTTAAATTTTAAAGCATAATCATGTTCCAGAATTCAGAATAGCAGTGCTAATGTTTTCGTCAAGGCACTGCTTTTTCTCCAGTCCAATCACACAGTATTGCATACACATAAAACAGCGCAGCCTTTCCCCTGAATACTGCTGTTTGATAGAAATGGATGAAATTAGATTTTATCCTTTCTTGTTTCTTCTTAACAGCAGTCTTATTCGAACCTTTTTACTTCCTACCAAAAGAATCCTTCTTTCACTGTTTTTTTAGAAGAAATTATGCTGTAACGAATAATGCATCAAACTTCTCGGAAAGGAAATCGTGCACAAAAAATTCCAAGAAAATACTACCTGGGATCCACCAAAAACATACGTGTTTTATACTTTCTCAAAATTCGAGAAGAAAACAAAAGTATAACTTCCAAAATTAGAGTCACAATTCAAGTTTGCCATGAAGAAAATGAGCACGGACAAATAGTATAGTAGGAAAAGAAAAGGAAGCTCACCAATTCAAATGGGCTTCGTGCAAAGAATGCAAAACCTTAGTTTCTTTCTGGTAAAATTTTGGAGAATTGTCTTGTCTAGTTTAGGACAGTGTAGAGTTCTGTCACAAATTATTTGTTTGACAGGTTTATTCATTGGGGTTCAAGAAAGTTGTTTTAGGCATCTCGGTGGGAGTTATGAAACGGTCGTTGGAATCAGTCGGGGTGTCCTACCTCTTTCGTTTCATCCGACGGACGAGAGAGCACTTTGGGAATGGCCTTTGAAACGTTACGCCCGGGAAACTCGATGGTCAAAGCAACTGAAACGGTAATTGAGCTCTACACTTGGCTATAAATTAATGCCCTTCTTCACGAATTAATAAGGCAAATGCTTGGTTGTGCCCCTTCTTCACAAATCATGGAAGGCCAAGTATTTGCCATTAATAAACCTCTGCGAAATTAAATAAGCAATAGAATATCAACTAATCT